CCTGATACATAATCACAGACTTGGTAAGATTGCGCCCGTCAAATTATTTCCATTAGCACATTATTTTAGCCTTTTCATTCCTTTATTTTCTATTGATTGAAAGAACGAAATGTCTCTCTTATACATGTTGGGAAAGAAAGAGATGATAGATAGAAACAGTTTTAATAAGACAACAATAGATCCGATCACTGAAGCTACGAAAAGTCTTTTTTAATTGATATTTTATGAACAGAGTTGATATTATGTATTGTTCTGTTTGAATGGGAAGCAACAAAGAACAAACATGGCGGAAATGAAAGAGGACAACAACATATGTTTTGTTTTGGATTTGTGACGTGTACCTGTATTTATTAAAAAGAATACGCGTCTTAATGATGAATTTGGTTTTCTACGGAATGAACATTCTATTTCTCTCTCTCTCTTCTCTCTCTCTCTCTCTCTCTCTCTCTCTAAAATTTAAATATATATATATATATATATATATATATATATATATCAAAATATATAAATTGTATACACGGAATGAATTCAATAACCAACAATTACTATTCTTAAAAGAGTGCTCAATACAAAGTAGAGCAGATATAATTATTTATTAAAAAAAAAATTTATAATTCAAACCTAAATAAGAAAAATCACTACAAAAATAGCTACTTTATTTTGAAACAAAATCTTATTTTGTAGTCATTTTATAAATATTTATGTTATAAATTTATTTGTTTTATATATATATATATTTATATATATATATATATATATATATATATATATATATATATATAAATATATATATATATATATATTCAACTTCCTCCCTGCTTTGCGCCAACGGCTTTTAGGAAACAGTCTGTCTGTGGATGACAATATATATATATATATACATGTCGCGCCAAGAAATTTTTCCCTTGATTGGATTATATAGCTGCCATATATGGTCTGAAGCCCCTTCTGTCTACCTAGGGGTTCTTGATAAGATCCATGGGCGGATATGCAAATAATTGAACCCCTGATCTGGCATCTCGTCTGCAGTACCCTTTCTCTCACAGACGTGCCGTCGCTATTACCTCTGTTTTTTTTTACAAATACTTTATGGTAATTGCTCTGATGAGCTGCTTTCTAAAAATAGTTTTTAGACTTTCGCGATTTCAAGCCTCCTACGAGGCTGGCATACCTTTTCTCAACCTTTCACTTTTGAATCTGTTAAATGTAGCCGTCTCTTCTACTCCAATAGATTCATATCTCGCACCTCTCGTAAATAAAAAATTCCTGTTTCCCTGATAGCTTTAATTCCAACTATTCAAATGTAATGTCAATCGACATCTCCATATATATAATGATTAATATAATATATATATATATATATATATATATATATATATATATATATATATTACATACAAGAGAAAATTAAAATTACCTCATAGTTATGATCATTTCACCTTTCAGATTGAGATTACCAGTAAGGATTTTCAAACCAGTCAAGTTGATAAGATAAAACTAAATAAAATCTATCACTGGATTATATACTGACGGATTAGTACCTGTATATATATATATATATATATATATATATATATATATATATATATATAAGTGCTCAGGTATGCAGAAAATAAAAGAACACGATGGGTGCATAATCCTGGGTTCCTTAGTATTTTTGTTTTTATTTTTAAGAAGACAGTGCTCCATACAGAAGTAGAGCTTTATTATAATAATATTTTTTGTTAAAAATATGATTCCTTCGCTACATAAGAGTTCTCATGTTTCAAAAATCTTCGAAGATGAAACGGGACTAAACACCTCAATTCAACTTAATTTTAATAATTATTTGGATAGTTTTGGCTCTCGTTTTTGAAACATGAGAACTCTTATGTATCGAAGGAATCATATTTTTAAAGAAAAATTTATATATATATATATATATATATATATATATATATATATATATCCAGATACGATGAGAAGGAATATTACAATTCTAACATCTAATGTTAATTCGTAACATTTAATTTAAAAGATGGATCACTAAAGAGTAGAGCAATATTATTTATTTTAGGATATTACATTGAAAAAAAACGTGACTGCTGACTTCACTGTCCACTTTTACATTTACATAGCTCTATCCCTGATATTGAGCACTTTCATTTCGAAAATATATTCGGGTTTTTCTTAATACTATATTTTATCACACACACACACACACACACACACACACACACACACATATATATATATATATATATATATATATATATATATATATATATATATATATATCAAAAAGTATGGTTGGTTATCAATATAATCAAATCATATGTGCCAGTGTCTGGACTGTCGGTTCCTAGGAACTGAGAATCTTGACCCTTATACGTCGAATACGACGGGAGAGTCACAACATATATATATATATTATAGATAGATAGATAGATAGATAGATAGATAGATAGATATATGAATAAAAAAGACAAGAGGTACACTTAACTTAGCCGACTTTATTAAGGCAAATTACTTGGCAGGCATTTCTGCGTGGTACAGGTGGTAGGTATTTATTTCACCATCTGTATATATATATATATATATATATATATATATATATATATATGTGTGTGTGTGTGTGTGTGTGTGTGTGTGTGTGTGTGTGTGTGTGTTTATATATATATATATATATATATATATATATATATATATATATATATATCAATAATAATATATATATATAATTAATAATTACAATATTTGGTAATCCGTATGGAAATTCCAAAAAGGTATAGAAATCAGTGAACTCAATGTCAGAACAGAGCAAATAATAATGTTCGTTTTCATTATAGTAATTATAATTGATATATATATATATATATATATATATATATATATATAATATATAAATATATATATATATATATATATATATATATATATATAAATATATATATATATATATATATATATATACAAGTTTTATCAAATTCAACCTAGAACGACTGTCTGTTAAGATTTTTATTGCGTTTATCCAAATTTCTAATAAACTCTCCGAATTGATGTTCTTTTCGCTTATAATACTTTCAGGTACCTCAGTCGTTATCAAGATCTGGCTGCTATCACAGTATGGTAGACAAGTCTTTGTTGACTAGATACTGGCATCTTTTACAGTCCAATGTCAAGTTATGGGCATCGGTGAGAGTGAGCCTGACCTCACTATTAAACCCACACATATATATATATATATATATATATATAGTCGATTCTCCCGTCTAGTTCGATGTATAAGGGTCATGCAGATCAGTTCCCGTGAAACTAACAGCCCGACACCGGCACATGAGATTTGATTATAGTGGTGAAGGTTTCGTGCAGGACCATCCACACTTTTTGAAGGGACGATTTCAGAAACCTGGTGCACTAACTGCTTCAAAAAATTTTAAACGACCCTCCGCAGGTTTTGAATTCAGAGTTGTCCTTCTCCCAGACCACATTGCCATCCAAGGCTATAGAACCCAGTTTGTCCTGCTATTTGCCCATAGCTGGAGGGAGAAGAAGAGGATTCACACCTTTCCCAAGAGTATTAGCACGTAAGTGAATGTAATGGAATCGACTGGAAATCGAACTCGGCTCTCCGATTCCTCAATCCAAGCCGCTATCCGTTACTCCACCGTGCCTATATTTAGGCAGCAATTCATTAAATATGACAGACAACGTGCTTTGATTTAGTTTTTATACAATTTCTCATGTGATCTTATTTTTTTTTTCTTTTTGGTAGACAAATTATATAAAAACTGTCCAATTGTTCTTTTTTTTCCAGCGCTTTCGGCTATACATTTATCGATTTTCAACTCTCAATGATATTAACTATGAACATGGACACAATATCTTGGTCGTGTTTTGAAAATGACAACATTATATAAATACATAACATGAAACAAACTATTTCTTGTTAACAGTTGATATATTTCAACCTTGGAAATAGCTAAAAGTATAGCCGAAAGTGCTCGGAAAAAAACAACAGATGAACAGTTTTTATATAATTTCTTTACCGGAAAAAAATTATAAGATCACATGAGAAATTGTATAAATGACTAAATCAAAGCACCTTGTCTGTCATATTCAATGAAATGCACATATATAAGGACTATGATGAGTCTGCTGATATGAGGAGTCAATCATGTGATAGTAACAATTTCTCATATTAAAAGTTTCAACAAAACTTACTAATTTTTATGTTTCCCTTATAGTTTTCAGTGACTTTTATTTATTTTATTTTATTTTACCTACCAACAAGGAAGTACAAACGCTTACTAAGACAAGAGATCAACTTAGCATTGTCTGATTTTTTTCGGCTCTAATCTTAATAAAATGTCGTTTTGCAGTCGATTTTTAATGATGATTATTCATCTGATAAATAAATTTATACATGTGTTTGTTGGAGGGCGTGTGTGGCGTGTCATTTATTTTATATACATTAAATAGTGTATATATATATACGGTGTAACCCGGATATAAGAGAGTTGTCGGGACCGGAGAAGTCTCTTATATCCGGGTTTCTCTTATATCCGGGTTTGGTCTATTTTATATACATTAACACAGGCTCTAATTTGGGACCAGAAAATCTCTCTTATATCCGGGTTTCTCTTATATCCGGGTCTCTTATATCCGGTTTACTGTATATATATATATATATATATATATATATATATATATATATATATATATATATATATATATATATGTGTGTGTGTGTGTGTGCAAATATATAGAAAATAGGAAAGAACACGTTAGGTAATAATCCGAATTCCTTCTCTACATATGTAGCGAAGGAATCATATTTAAAAAAAAAAAAATTATATATATATATATATATATATATATATATATATATATATATATATATATAGAAAGAGAGAGATTATAATACGCTTATATGCACACGTGTATGGAAAATAGGAATTTGTTCTACGATATTAATTTTTTTTTATTTATTTGCGTGCGTGAGCGTGTATATGTCTATCTGAGTCAGTGTCTATATGCATGCATTACATAGATAGATAGATAGATAGATAGATAGATAGATAGATAGATAATCCTCTGGGGTAATTTTTATTTTCTTTGTCATATTTTTCATTTACAAAGATTTTCTTACCTTTAACTACTTACTACCAACAAAGTAGACATAAATACTTTCCGATGTAGCTACTACATGAACAAAGAGAAATTTTATTTTCAATGTTTCCTTGAATAACAACGAAAGGTTCAAGACAATTACATTTGTCAATTTTGACAGAGATTTAACTTTTTTATTCTCTACAGAAAATTTTATAGATTTATTGATTTTACCGGCTACGGATATTTACGTGCGTCTAGTGTCTGTGTGTGTGCTTGTCTATGTATATGACTGTAATTCTGTGTTTGTACGTATAGGCGCTCAAATATTCATTTTTGCGCTCGACTCGAAGGAAGAATTTGGTGTAT